AACCCTGAACCTTGGTGTTATCAGCATCACACTCTAACCAACTAAGCTAACTGGCCAGCCCTCTAACCACTGGTTATATATTAACCAGTGTTAACAATGGTTATCTCTGGGAGGAAGGATTTAGGTATAATTTTTATTTTATTCCTTTATTTCTTTATTCTTTATACTTTTGAGTATTTTCAAAAAATTTTTATAACAAGAATATACTTTAATAAATATAAAAACAAAGTGTGGTAGCTTAATGAGGAATAATTTGCAATAGAAACCTTGGACTTTACAGAGGAATCATTGGCACTTCCACAGGAACAGTGTTTTCTCAAGTTGTATCTAGAACTTGGTCTATAATGGTGACACCAGGAAATTGTGCCTGGCTCTGAAGTGATATGCATACTAAATCTACATTCCGAAGTAGATAGGAGTTCTCACTTCTCCTCTGCCATCTCTCCCATCTCTTAGTTTTCAAAAACATCCACTGGTAAGGGAATACAGAATTCAAAATTGTTAACTGATTAGGGAGTCAGAAAGTCCTCAGAGTAGTCTTGCTTTGTCAGGGGAAACAAGTTGTCCCCGAAGCAAAATAAACAATTTTGATTCTGTCAGTGAATTTCTATAAATAAAGTCAGCACAAATGTTACCCAAATTATACTCCTCCAGAAGAGTTCTTCCAATTTTAGTATACATACTGCCGAAGCAAGCACTCTTGTAGAAGAGTCAGTGAGTGTAGACTTTGCCATAGGTTTCATCTTTTGGGAAATCTCATGTTTTTGGATGAAGGGACATTCTGGGGTGGATGAGTCTGGGAAGGGTGGGGATGAATGTAGCCATTAATCCTGGACCAAGAGCTTCTAGGTATATAATGCTTTTAATCATCCTCCATAGTGGACCTGAGAAAGAGCACGCATTTTCCCCCTCCTATTTTATGGTCAAACTCAGCCACAGATGGCAGGATAAACTAGAGGCAATGCTGTGAATCAGTGGCAGGGGTGCTCATTTATCCAAATATCAACCCCAGTGTTCTGTTTTATCTACTATATTTTCAAAGTGTGCTCTGTGTAACTTTAGAGGTTCTTTAGGGCTTGCTTGAAACCTATCATCATCCATGCATTGCTTTGTATTTGTTCTATCTCTTTCAAGCTCAAGTTGAATGTTAACTCAGGTTTTAGGGCAAGATGTTCTCCTATTGGTGTAGTTTTGAGAATCTTTTTGGGTTTTTTTCTTGGTGGCTGGCCTGTATGGGGATCTAAACTCTTTGACTGTGTTATAACATGCACTCTAATCAACTGAGCCAACCAGCCAGCCAAGAATCATTTTTTTGGATGGTACTTGAAGTAAAAGAAGGATACAGTTTGTGTAGGATTGTTTTTGTTTGTTTGTTTGTTTGTTTGTCTTTTTTCATGACCGGCAACGGATTGCAACCCTCAGTGTCGCGCCCGTACCAGGCCGGGACCGGCAACGGGATCTTGTTTGTTTGTTTGTCTTTTTTCATGACTGGCAACGGGATCGCAATCCTCGGTGTTGCGCCCGCACCTCGCTCAGCCAGTGAGCAGCCGGTCTGTATGTGGGATCCGAACCCTCGGCGGGAGCGCCGCCACGCTCCCAAGCAGCGCACTGTAGCAGTGTGCCACCAGGCTGGCCCCTTGTTTGTTTGTTTTTTACCAAAGAACTAAGAATACAGAATTACTTAGAAACAGGCAACATTTCACTGAAATGAAATGGAATGGTTTCAGACTCATGGAAAAAAGCAGGCTTGACACCCTCCTCCTGCTTTTCCCTTTTTTACCTAAACATTGCTTCAGGATTAACCGTTTCCACTTTCTCACCAAACTCATATTTCAGCAGGTCATACTTGCCTCATAGCCATGCCCCAGTGAGAAAGATCATCATCATAATCATTTTACTCTGGAATCCTTGTCCAAAATGTATGCAGCTTGCTATCAAAGTAGGGTATAATATTAGACTCACTTTAGGAATTCTGGATAGTCAGGAAACTTTACTTAGGTGGTATTTGTCTGCAGTCCCTAAACCCCTTGGTGATGACTTGTGAGGAGGTCTTTTGGAATGCTTAGGGTCAAGTTCCCTTCACCACTGTGTTAATAGCTATATACAGTGGCAGAGGATAAATCATAAAATTCTATGAATGGCAACCGGGGAGAGCAGGAACCCTACCACAAGCTAGAGTCAGTGAGCATGAAGTCGGCTGTGAGGATAGCAGAGAAGTTGGGAGCTGTGTCATACTAACAGCTGTCTTGCCCAGTTCCTTGGAGGCTGTGTTTAAAGCCTTTTGTCAAAGAGAGCAATAAGGTCCATTCCTAGTGCTTGGAGGGAAGGCTTTTTGTTTTCACTTGATGGGATGAAAAGATATCCATTTTTATGTACGTACAAAGTGAATCACAGAGGCTGTGCCTAAATCAATAACAGTGGCATGAAAGCAATTCTGTCATTACTGTTTGATTGCAATGTCCTTGCTGAAGATACGAGTATAAAATTGGCACAAATCTGCCCATATTGATTAATTATAGGGAGAAGACAGTGTAGTATCATTCATTCAATGTGTGAGGAAGAACAAAACTTTTCAGAAGTATGTCTGGTGGATAACAGTGATTCCCATTGCTTTCTTTGGGTTTGGTGAATTGGGAACATCTTGTCCAACCTAGAAATTAAAAGGAAACATGAAAGATAAAGAAGGATGCAAATGGATATTTCTTTATGTGCAATAAAGGGATAGCTAAGTATAAAAAATGCTGGATAATTCCACGTACACTTCATTTTGCCTCCTTGTTACCCAATCATTCACTGAGAAAGTATGAACAAGGTAAACATGTTTATGCAAACCTGCAATTGTTTGGAACCTATAACCCACTAGCAAAGTGCCCATATGCACAGGGTTTCTATTTCATTCCTTGAATCAGGCCCAAACAATCGCATTATGTTTTGAAAAAGAGGCAGAGATTTGGGTCTGTGTGGAACAAACATTTTTAATAATTCCATTCCACCCTCACTATAACTGACTTCATGCCCCATCTAGTTTTGTATGTAGTTTCTTTTTATTTATTTATTTATTTGTACATACTTTCTAAATGCTTAACTGTTATGAACATAATTACAATTTTTTTGTTTGGTGCTTTTTCTTCCCAACTTGACTGTAAGCCTCTTGAAGGCAGAGAACTTGGCACATAGGTTTCAAATAAAATTTTGTGGAATAGATGAATGAGCCAGTAAATATTAGTATAGGAATGAAATGATCTGGATTCTAGTTTTTTTTCTTCCAGCTGTATGATCTTGGGAAAGTCACATAACCTCCAAGCCTCAAATTAAATATCAGTAAAATGTAGATACCTTCCCTGGCTACCTCCCACGGTTTTTGTAAGGTTCAAATGAGGTAATGTGTATAAAATTGCTACCTTATTACAATTTTTACTAATTCTTTATCATTTAGTAGCCTATTATGTTCATAGAAGTTCAATCAGAGTTGCTGTTACATAGTTACCTCTAATTCAGAACTAGATTTTTTGGTTCCCTTCAGGCCTACTTCTTCAAATGTTCAGTAGACATGATAATGGTGATCAGAGTAAAGAACTAAAGATATGCCATATAATAAATCATACTAATTTCTATGGGCTTATCATCCAATAGTTGAAGAAACAATAATAGAAAATATAATCAGACAGAGATGACAAATAAGTTGGCAGTGGGTGCCTGGAGCACTGTCATAAGAATGATTCTGAGGCTGGCCCGTGGCTCACTCGGTAGAGTGAGGTGCTGATAACACCAAGGCCACGGGTTCAGATCCTATATAGGGATGGCTGGTTAGCTCACTGGCTGAGCATGGTGCTGACAACACCAAGCCGAGGGTTGAGATCCCCTTACCGGTCATCTTTTAAAAAAAAAAAAAGAATGATTCTGATGCCAGGCCTAAGTGGAAAGAGAGCTGTGCTTGATTATTGATATGTACAGTCAACAGAGAATTAAAGAATGGGAATCTTCAATACCCATTCTCAATGCTATAATTCTATAAAAGTGGACACCTTGTTTAGTTTTAAAAGCATTAGAAACATTGTCTCTTTGCCTTACTGAGTATTGTAGATGTTTTAGAGAAGGTGCCCATCAACTTATAATATTCAAAGGCTGAGTCCATTCCTGGTGGGGAAACAGGATTTAAAGCAGCCATGCTGAGCCAAAGGTGTAGTGTCACCAAAGGGCACTATTAATTTATAATCTTGCTGGGAAACCCAACAAGAACAAGGGAAGAAGGAAGTTGCTTTGCAAAGTCTTCAGACTGTATTCAAGTGTGGTGGTTCCTAAATTTTGTTTTTTATAAGAGTTACATAGGGCTTGGGATGGATACTTATGTCATAAGTTCTGAAGTTCTTACAATTTCAGGGAACCTTCTTAAAGAAAAAGAATACAAATCTTTAGGGCCAGCCTGTGGCTCACTCAGGAGAGTGCGGTGCTGATAACACCAAGGCCACAGGTTCGGATCCTATATAGGGATGGCCGGTTGGCTCACTGGCTGAGCGTGGTGTTGACAACACCAAGCCAAGGGTTGAGATCCCCTTACTGGTCATTTTAAAAGAATACAAATCTTTAAACTACAAAAGTGGATACAAAGCCTTGGATAGGAACCATGAAGCTTAAGTTTCATTAATTTCACAGTAAATCCACCTCTGTTTAGGGAGCTTGTTAAAAACCTTAAAAATAAGATTCCTGGGGTTGGCCGGTTAGCTCCCTCAGTTAGAGTGTGGTGCTTACAACACCAAGGTCAAGGGTCTGGAACCCTGTACTGGCTAGCTGCCAAAAAAAAAA